CAGGAACACAAAAATCTGGGTAGTATGGGGGCCTTAAGAATTAGAATAGGGTTTGGTATATTGTATACAACAAGGAACCCCAAACACCCTAGTCCAATTATGAAGGCCCCTTCATTAACTGCCGAGTCTAGGGTTGAATGATTAGCTTCTCGGGTTCGGTGAACCTGAACTCGTGTTGGAAGGTTTAGGCTTAGGTTTGGGTGTAGCAGGGTTTGTGCCATGCTTTCTTCCTGTTTTCTGATCGGTGCATACCCATGCCTTCACTGGATGTTCCAGCTCTTTCATTGAAACTTAAAGTGCACTTTTAGCATAGATCCCGCGTTTCGAGCCCCGAGCCACACACTAAGCTATTCCAAGTTCCGTGCCGGCCGCGGTCATTCCAGGCCACCATAAGGGTTCCCAATATGGGGTGAGCCTATGCTGCATAGTCGCTTCATTGACCCCGCGATTGCAGAGGGCATGACGAAACCCTTTAGAATCTAGAAGCCAGAATATGCAGAACCTCTGCTAAACCTTCAACCCTGAGCACACTCAAGCCGGGCCTCACCGCACATGGATCACGAGCCCAAGGCGCGCCATTCCAAAGAGAAGGGCAATGCCACGAACCTCGCGCTGCGATGAGCCGGGGCCCCGGTTTTGTTCATCGCGTGCAAGTGGCGGGGGTGGGGCGGCGCTGTCATGTCATAGTGCAGTCGCAGCATGTGGTTGATGTAGCAGCAGTTGTGCTTCAACATGTTGGAAGTAATCATGTTTGGAGTTTGAGCCTACCAAACCGAACGAAAACGGACCGCCACGTGGAGACCACGAGCCCCACAAGCCCTTGTGAAAGTCTATCCTCCGCAGTGCATTGCACATGACATGACAAGGCTGTAGAACTACACTCGACATCCTCCCTTCCGACGAGGTATACTGCTGGTATTGTGTTCCGTCTTTTGACCCGTCACGGCTCGCACTCAGGATAGTATTCGAGTCCAACCCCGTGCCGGGCGACCCAGTATCCAGCTTGCGCCCGAAAGTTGTTATGATCTCAGTCGCTGCGACTGCCCTGCCTCGATCTGGCAGTCCCTCGCTTTTCGGATAGCTCTGGAGTAGACGACGTTTAATCTCCTGAAGCCTTCCAAGGGTTCCAAGCCCCCAATCATGTGGTCGAGTAACCTCCAGATTGCGCTTGCGAGGCAAGCTAAACGAAAGGACCGGGCTTCTTAGAACCCCAGAACTTTTGCCGAGGCAAACCGACCTAAGGGGAGTCGGATCCTCGTAGAAGACCAGGGCTAGGCCTTACAAGACTTAGGCTTGCAGCTTTGGGCTGCTGGGGCTGGGGTCCGATGGATGGCTGAGGATTCGACCTCCGGTGCCCTATCCAACTGCCACGGATGAGCGAGGCTCCCAGACCCATGATCAAAGGAAGCTGCAGGTGGGGATTTTAGGGTATATAGGGCTTCTATAAGGCTTCGACAAGGTATATAGACCCTATAAGGCTCCGATAACGGTAACTACCCACCTGAAAATGTCCTAGAACATGAGAGGTATCGAAGAGGTATCGTGGGCGTCCCTGTTGACATTGCACCAGCATCCTGCTGCACCAGCATCCTGCTGGTTGCTAGCTGTTCCCCAGGCCTGTATCCCAAAAACATAAGGCCTGCACCCTGAACCCTAAACCCTATAAACCCTACACCCTAAACCCTAAACCCCCACAGCCCCTCCCTTGGAGGATGTTCGACGCCTCTGTGGCTTCGGTGGAGGGTTCGGGCTCTGCAAGGCGAGTGAAATTCCATTTACTCGGTTCACGAATTCTCAGAGCTTGGGCACTTGACGTAACTGTTTAGGGTTTAAGGGTTTAGGGTTTAGGGTAGCCTGGGCTTAGGGTTTAGGGTTTAGGGTTTAGCCTTTCTAAAGGTTTTGGGTTGTCGGCTGGAGGTTCTAACGTTTGGGACTTCCGGGTGCAAGCTGCCGTTAGCTCTTTAGTGTGGTACTTGCTGCGGCCTCAGCAACGCAAAGCAGGCAGGGGACAACGCACTAATTATGCCCAGCAGCAATCAATTGACCGCAATCTGCACAAGACACGAAGTCTAATTCCATATATATATATTTTTTTTTTATTCACATACATGCATATAAGCTGAAGGGAAGTTCCTGCCCATGGCCACCAACCCCTCCAAGCTATGCAAGAGCATGCCGGGAAGTCCTAGACTTATAATAAGAAAAGAGTCGTGTATTCCATGTCTAACCCTCACCCCGGGGCTCACCTGAAACTCTCAACTTTTGCCCAGGTCGTTCACAAAAGAGGCTCACGCTTCGGAGGCTGATGCCCGCTGGGAGCCACGTGTGGGCTGGACACCCCGCCCTTTGATGGCAAGGGAATCTGGCGCTTGAAGCACCTGTCAGTCAGTCGTAGAAGTTCCTTGAAGAACAACTTTCACCCGGGCCTATGAATCTTAGACTGTGATTCGCGGTGTGGAGTTGGCGATTTCTTGTTCACAACTAGACGGCAAGCATTGGTTAATCATGGCCTATCGAGGCATCTATTTTGTGCATATGGGCCCGCGCTAGCAGACGAAAGCAGTGTGACCTTGCCGTTGAACAAAGAGTCACGGCAGGCCATGCTTGAAGTGCAAAGAAGCACTACCAGTAGCGGCTGTAGTCACGGATGCCTCCGGGTTGGCATGTCAAGACATCTTGGTGCACCTGCAGGTGTAGACAACGTGAGCATCCCTACAGCAGCCTCCATCCGTTCAGTACTTGTGTGTGTGCAAGTTCATCCTTGCAGGCTTATTTTCCTGCTAGTTTGTGTTTGTCATGCGTGGGTGCAGCCAACCAGGTGGCAGAAGATGCGGTACACTCCACGGTATTCTAGGGTCGTGTTTCGACGTCCGAAAGCCTACCGTGCAGCAGCTGCCAGGTGCAAGGTTTGCGTTATGAAGGTTGCCATACACGCACACATACCTACATATCCCTTGCATGCATGCCTGCATGCATACATGCTTACACTGCTTACTTTCTTGCTTATTTACATGCATACATACATACATACATACATACATACATACATACATACATACATACGACATACATACATACATACATACATATATACATACATACATGTCGACATGTACATTTTATGATGCATTCAAATAAATCACAGGCAGTTGCGCCTTCTCGGGTAATTGTGTCTGCATTGCATCCTGTGCGAAGTTCAGGAGGCTGTGTAAGGAGCAGACAGTTCTACGGCTCCACGCCATCATCCATGGCACTTGTTTCAAGAGACTTCTACAGCGAAGGCAAAAGCAACCTTCGCAATGTGCGCCAATCACACGCTATTGAACTAGTAGGCAGACGCCTGAAGCTTTAGACTAGTACATGTTTGAGTTTAAGATATGCTTCTTTAAGGCAGACTCAAGCTTCGTGCAGCCGAGAAAGGCCGTAATCATTCATCAAGTAAGGTTCGGGGCCTTGAGATGTATAGGGTCTAATGTTGAGGCAACTCCAACCACAGCTAAGCCCTTGCGTTGAGTGTTGAGACTCTGAAGCCTACAACGGCCCGAATATAGGGCCTTAATAATTACCTATACTATTTTGGGGGGTTCCTTATCATAATTATAGTATATGGGCCCCAAAATCCTGCTCTAATTATTAAGGCGCACTGTGCTGTAGGGCGGAGTAGCAACTTTAGAAATGTAGAAGCAAGCATTCAGGTTCTTGTATAAGTATAGAAGCGGCCTACCCGAACCTCAAAACTCGGTATTATTCAGATCCCATGCCCACAGGCTCCTAAGTAGTTCCTTTATCTGGTTCATATTTAGAATTTTATAAGGTAATCCCCAAAAGGAAC